TGCAACGCAAACATGTTTAAAGCAGTATTTTTCCAACCTTTGTGCTGGTCAACTATGACTGGACATTTTTAATTGTGTTGACCACCAAAGTACAAGTTTCAGTCATTTTAAAAGAAAGTATTTTATTGGGCGCAACTGAAAGACTTCCAAAGTTTGGATCACAAAAACAATTCTTGTTTGAGCTTCTCAAAATCATTTGATATTTTAGAGCATTTTAGGTTTAATCTTGATGGTTGGATTTTTTTTTAGGAACAGACATGTTTACTCCATAATTTGACAACAAAAGATGAACTTGTGTGTTCCTGTTCTAACACTGATTGTTGTGCAGCAAAGCATCACAAAAAATCAATAGCTTTCTTCTTCCATTTGGACCTGAAATACTCAAGACCACAACACAGCGCCATTATCTGAGTATAAGGAGCTTGTATGTTTGGAAAAATTTATGGTTTTAACATGATAAGATGAATAGTCCATTCAACGTGTAGCAGTTTTAAAACTCAGGTTGAGAACATGATAATAATGCAAAATGGTAAAGGACTGAAGCTAACTGAGGTACAACCTTTCTTCCTAACTGCGGCGGCCATCTTGAATTACATTAACGTCAAAAGATAAAAGAGTTTGTGTTGCTGGACAATTTAAAAAGAGGATTTTAATTCAGCTCTATCTGAGGGACACTGTTGCTTAAATATAAATCTTTTTTATAAATCTTTTTAACCACAGATCCATGCTTCTATGCCTAAAAAGCACTGACACAATCGTATGCTTTTCCTCCTTTAATGAAATTTATAGGCGTTTTCTTCATAACTATTAGATTTAGGATGGCGAGTTAAAACTGGGAACTATATTTTCCTGTTGAGGCCTGCCATGCTCTCAGATTGAACTGATTTAAAGTGACTCCACACTCTGAGTCATTTATGTGAGTATTATAGTTACTGCATTGATTCATGACCCCCTTAGTGGGTTCGTGTTGCTTTCTCTGCCCTGCCTCAGAGCACCACAGCCATAATCACACGATAAAATCTTTTCAAGTGAAAACCGAATAAAACGACTGAAATCGGAGTGCTGGTCGTCACAGGCAGTGATATAAATACAGCTGGGAGCACCTCATGGCTGATCGGAGAGGACAGAGATGCTTTCATACACCTCAGTCATGATTTTTACTTTCCTCTGGTTTCTGCTCCTCCTCGTAGGTGTGATGGGATCAGGTTGTGTGTGCATGTGGCTGTAAAAGCTCTGTTTTTTTTTTTTTATCATGGAGCACTTTTTAAAATAAGAGAGCGTTATGCTTGAGTATTTTATTGAAAGACATATTGAAGTTTTTTTTTTTTTGTCTCAGGTGAAAATACCTCCAGTTCAGAGGCGCAGGAGCGTCACGGTGATCAAAAAAAGTCCAACTACGCCTCTAAAGACATGCCAGGTAATAATCTCACTTTATTGCTTTATTGTCTTTAAACAAATCAAATCAGCGGGGAGAACAAGCATTCATCTTGATCTAGTTGCACCTTGACATAAATCCTATTATTTTGTAATCAGAATTGTTGTAAAGGTGTCATAAAGAACATACATTGTGTCATCCTACAGGTTCCTTTTCTGTGACGGACGGAAATGTTACGTCGGATGAATCAGAATTTGACGAGGCGTCCAATCAGAGCGCTGAAGAAAATTGTAAGACTAAATAATTTGTCTGATTACAGAAAGTGAAAAAGTACACATTTCATTTATGTTGCTTTTTTGTTGTTGTTGTTTTTAACTCTCTGTAATCTCAGCTGCACAAAACAGCTGACATTAGAGAAAGAACAGTTTTTTTAAACTTATTAATAAAAATGCTGGAAATACATTCATATTTTGCACTGATTAACTATAGAATGTTGCTTAAAACTATTGCAGACTAGCTTTTAAACTTATAATTTACAAGTTATTTCTTGTTACAATAAGAGATCAGCCGTAAATTCCGAAATTTCTGCTCGTTTTGAAGAACGTAACCACATTTTTATCACTGCTAGTTGACTAAATCAATTGTATCTTTATTTTCAGTTTTTTTACACACTTAAAGCAGTTTATTTATCTAACAGATAAATAGATGTGTTTTTATTTTTGGTTTAGTGCTTCTGACCAAACAACACAGGGAATTAATCATTTGTGTTGACGCTTCTCCCCAYTTTATTTTGTCTTTTAAAATACAAATTATTGATCACAATGTGTTTTGTGTTTCTGCAGTACAAACYTGCTCCTACCTGAAGGTTTTAGAGTATTTGAACTTGACCAGAAACAATGATAAGTACACAATGACTCGACCTGCTTTAGATTACACAAAAAGCACACCAGTTTTTCTYCAGATGGCCATCTATGCCATCCTGGATGTGGTAAGTTGTTCTCTTTCTTTCTTTGTAGTCACTTTGTATTTTTTATTTTTATTTTTTTTTTTGGTCTAAACTGGTTTATTTACCAGCATACATCTTTTCATCTCATTTTTACAACTGCACTGCTGTGTTTTTTTTCCCCACAGAGAGAAATTGACCAGACATTTGTATCTTATGTTTGGATTTCTTTGGTAAGTTTATTTTTATGTCCATAAAATTCAACTAAAAAGAAAATAGGTGCCTTGATTGAAAAAAACACTTGGGGGCATAACGGCAAAAATAACATSATTATTTTAAATGAAGGCCCTCACACTGACAGTGACTGACCACTGACCAACACCCTGCTGCAGCATCCAGCAATATTTCAAGGGGCAATGTTATGTGTTTCTCAGGCAAAAAAATTATGTTCCATAATAAAGTAACTATGTCATCTTTAGTTGTTATTAAAATGTTTACATGTTTAAATAGAAAATAAACTTGACTTCTCAGCATATCTGTTTCTAAATGCCTTGAAATTGACCTCTGTCTCTTTAAGAACCTCCTTCTGCTTCTGTCCGGCCCATTTCAGCACGGGCTGTNAAAATATATAATTTACTGGAACCAAGCTGGAAAAATAAATATGAAGGTCAATTAAATTATAAAACATGAGGTCAAGTTTTCCTGTTTTACTTAACTTGTGCATTTTAAATGTATTTATTTATTGGTCCATTTAAATATATTTCTGCTTTTATTTCTAACTATGACAGTTTTGGTCCTCCATATATGACAGGTAATTTAAACATAGGCTAAATAATAAGGGACCTAAGATTGAGCCTTGTGGTACACCTATGTCATTTTGAGCTACATCTGAGATTTTATCATCTATTCTCACACATTGTTTTCTGTTGGACAAATATGACTTTATCCACTGAATAACCAGAAGTGAGAAATTAAACTTTGATAAAATAAATCAATATAATTTTATGGTTGACTGTTTCTTAAAATCAAGGAACACAGCTCCAATCACACCCACTTTGTCCAATGTAGCTTTAATATTTTCAACAAGATTGGTGTTTGCTCTCTCAGCTAAATAATGTTTTCTAAATCTAAACTGCATGGGATGCGATGTGGATTCAGATGTAGTWTAATTTGTTCAGGATTCAGGTTTTCTATGATTTTTGAAATAGTTGGTAGTACACTTAAAGACCTATGGTTATGTACAGTATCTCTCTTTCTTCACCTGATTTAAAGACTGTTATGATTACTGCAGTTTTCCATGCTCTGAAAACTCCTCCCTTAATTGAACAATTTCTAATTTTACAGATGCAGAGGATAAAAACATTTTGTTAGCTTTTAACAGCACAGTGTCCATATTGTAGATATATTTTGCCCTTAAAGTCAAAATGATTGTTAATATTTTAGCGCATTCTTGAAAATTCAAGACAGGGGGCATTGGTGTTTAGTGGTGTCTCTTTGATAAAGTGTTCAACAATTTGACATTATATCTGAGCCTTGGYTCAAAAATGAGCTTGTACATTCTTGCATTTCATGTCACGCCTTTCCTGTCAAATTTATATTTATGTGGATTCTCCCATTTGGGTTTTAAATAGTTAGGGACCTCAACAGCTAATGCAGTTACATTAGCTGCAGTTACGACACTTATGCCTCTAGAAATGTGGTGTTTTAATATCAGATAAATGTTATGAGTGTGCTGCGCTTTTAAGACTCATAAGATATGTACTCAGCTGTGAGAATATAATATGATGTGGTTACTGAGTGGTTTGTTTCTGTGGTTATCTGCTTGTCAGATTTTACATGAATGCATGTCATCAATAAATGTCCTGACAGCTTGTTCTGCAAACTWTTTGTTCATTCAAATAAACAGTTGAGAAAAATGTCCTGTCCTGTGTTTCAGTGTCTCTGTGTGCATTTTACAAGCTAGTTGACAATATCTCACAAAAAAAAAGTTTTATTTCGAGCAGTGGTCCTCAATCCTGGTCCTTGAGGGCCACTGTCCTGCATGTTTTAGATGTTTCTCTGCTGCATAAAACCTGATTTAAAGGTATGAGTAATTCTGCAGAACTTGAAGAACTAAAGAAGAACAGGGGAAAAAATTAAAACATGCAGGTTGGTGGCCCTTAAGGACGGGGCACAACTGAGTCTCAAATGCAGAGGTAAATCATAGAATTTCAGCCTTTTATTTAATATGTATGTATATAAAATTCCTTTCTCACCCTCCGCAGGTGGTCTCTTTCATCCTCTGAGCTCGGGTCCTCTACCAGAGGCCTGGGA